TCTTTGGCGATATATTTCCACAGCACCCTGCACTTCCCGCTAAGTAACACAGATCAGACTTGTAATTCTTTTCTCAAAGGCTGTCTTCTGGGCTGGAAAGTTTACAGGAACCACGTCAGTCTGGTTCACCACAATATTCTCCAGAACACAGTCTAAAACAGTTTGTGCTTAAGGCACACTTTTAAAAAGTTAAATTAAAAATTAAAAGGAGTGTTAGCTGGTAGGGGTTGAAAGGCTGAGGGTGTGAATCTTCAGCAAGTAATATATAAGCGGAATAATCAATGGGGTGAGATCCCTGAGGAGGTTGAAAGAGCCCTGTAAAGGGATTGGCCTCGTGTAAGGAGAGGGATGCCTTGTCTGTTAAACAGGAGAAAGGTCAAAGAATGGTTAGTAGGTGAGAGTTAATAGAGTAGGGAAGACCTATGATCTATGAAGAATGGGTGTGTGAACAGAATAGGGGAGCCACATGTTGAGGGCACTGTGGAGATTAGAGACCATGGAACTGGAATTCATGGTGGTCCCCATCACACTAGTATGGTTTTCTCCTAGTGTCCACAGCAGTACAGGCACACATATAGATCATATGAACCATTGGATCGACCCAGGGCTGGGATTTTTGCCAGACTGGTTGGTGTGCCAGAGAAGTTCAATTGAGCCACTGAGTTCAACATACTGGCCAAAAGTGGTCAATATGATAAACCACAGAGAATTTTATTCAGCAGAATTGAGGGAGGGAGTGTGGACAGAGTACAATTCTCTGAAGCAGGAAACAACCTCTCAGGGTTGCCAATGGGTGGGAGGAGGGAAAGAATGAGGCAGACCCAAGGAGAGAACGAAGGGCAAGTCTAAAGGGAGAGAGAGAGAAGGAAGAGAGGGAGGGAGAGAGAGATGGAGGAAGGAAGAGAAGAATAAAGAAAAGGAGGGAGAGAGGGAAAGAGAGAGGGAGGGAGGAGTGGAGAGAGGGAGAGAGGCAAGGAAAGATTAAGAGGGCATTTTAGGCTACAATTACAACCCATGGGTTCAAGAGAATCCTCTGCATCATTATAGTGAATTTTCTTTTTTTGGCTGAAGGGAGTTGGAGCAATTTTTGTTTCAAAGTAGTCTTAAGACAAGAAAATGTAATATAGACTCTTGTACTTCTCACATATGCTTTTGTCTTGTTTGGGGGGTTGGAGAGTAATATAGAGCCAAAGCTCATCAGATTCTCAGGCATTTAGGGCACTTCTGTGAAAACCATTTATCAGGCCTATTGCATAAGGTCCAGAGCTCTGGCAGAGGACTTTGGGGCCTCTGGGGCTTGGAGTCATCAGCAGGTTTTCCAAGGATCCCTGGCTCCTTGCCTCACTGACCTTGTTCAGAAGCAGCCAGGACTTCATGCCTGGAGCTGCTGGGGTAGAAAAGTAGCATCTTTGTTTGGCTGAGGACCTTGTCTTACATAGAGGGGAATGTGAGCCATCTCCAAGATCTTTCTCCACTTGTTTCCTATTGCACAACGAATCAGGTCACTCTTGAGGGAGGTCAACATTGCCCCAATCATCCGTCTCTTTCCAGGCTGGACGAGTTTGACATCATGGTATTACCCACCCTTGCGTCTTTCTTCCCAAAGCCATCCAGACACAAGTTTACCAAAACGTTTACCTTCTGTTTCCTACTTTGTACTGACACTACTAAATACTAACCATGTGGGGCTCTGAGGCTGCCTGTTTTTAAATTTATTTTATTGAAATCTACAAGGAATTTAGTTTTAGTTTCCCACAGTAACACACAAGCCACTTTCATTCTTTCCTCAATTCCTCCTTTCAATGTAACAAGCTGTTCTTAAAGCAGGTTCTGTAATGAGTCCTTAATGTGTGGAAAAGACTGTAATGTTATTCATTTAAATTCCAAGTAATCAAGTGATATGTCATAATTTATTTAACGATTTCCCTCTTATTGGACATTTAGATTGTTTGCAAAATTTGATTTTATAATTAGTTACTGGGAAGGATATCTTTAAGTATATAAGCTTTTCTTATTTAGGAAAACATGGGATTCCTCCTTAATTTTCCAGAGTTTTCAATACCACTAGCATGTAAATATTGTTTGCTGCTGAGCCTAAAAATGTAGAATAATTATATGTATCTCTCTTATCTCCCTTTTTACCCTTATACTTAATTTTATTTGAACCTTTGACCAGGTTCAGAAAAACTCCTTTCTCATCCTCCCTCTGTGATTTTTATTTTTCACACTATCATTGCCATTCCCTCTCCATGTAGACTTCCTTCCTGGAGGTGTCTGTCCTCCTACTCCGATCTGTACTGATTTCTTTCTAGAACTATTGCAAAGCAGTCATCCTTGGACTACCCAGTTTCCCAGATCTGAAGACTTACTCTTTCTTGGTTTATTCTCTTATTTTGCTGGAGTGCATCTCCAATAAAATCCTGACAAACGGTGCAAAGAAGATAAACATTTTGATAATATGCATTTCTAAATATATCTAAATTAAAAATTGTTTTTGAATTTTGAGGATACTGATCCATTGTCTTCTAGCATCCAATGTTGTGAAGAAATTCAATACTAGTCTAACACCCAGTCTTATATATGTGGTCTTTATATTTTTCTTTAAAAACTTTTAGAGTCCTGGCCGGTTTTGCTCAGTGGATAGAGGGTCAGCCTACAGACTGAAGGGTCCCGGGTTCGATTCCGGTCAGGGGCACGTGCCTGGGTTGCAGGCTTGAACCCCAGTAGGGGGCGTGCAGGAGGCAGTTGATCAATGGTTCTCTCTCATCATTGATGTTTCGATCTCTCTCTCCCTCTCTCTTCCTCTCTGAAATCAATAAACATATATTTAAAAAATAAAATAAATAAATAAAAACTTCTAGAGGGGGTCCGGATGTCACGTGGTCTGTCGACTCGGGGCGGGGCATCTCTGTGGGCGCATTGGCAACGCTGAAAGGTTTCATTTCTCTCCCTCTCTCTTCTTTCCTTCCTCCCTTTCTGGTAGATTTTAGTCTTATTTTCATGGGTGTAAAAATCTTATCTCACTGAGAATATTAATTTACTTTTTGAAAAATTCTTCTGTCTGTATTATCTGTTCCCTCTGAGTTCTTTTTTTCTCCTTCTAGTTTATTTATTTTGCTCTCTGTCTTTATGGTTGGAATCTCCTCAAAGATCTGGTGATCCTTGAATGCTTGTTCAGATTTTAAAATGAATCACTGCAAAGCTGATGGTAAACTGTGCGAGTGGGCAGGTCTTGTCAGTTTTGGGGCTTATTTTTAGACTAGAGGCCTGGTGCATGAAATTCATGCGGGGGGGGGGGGTGTCCCTTAGCCCAGCCTTCACTCTCTCCAATCTGGGACCCCTTGGGGGATGTCCGACTGCCGGTTTAGGACTTCCCTCTCACAATCCGGGACTGCTGGCTCCTAATCACTCGCCTGCCTGCCTGCCTGCCTGATTGCCCCTAACCACTCTGCCTGCCAGCCTGATACCCCCCTAACTGCTCCCCTGTTGGCATGATTGTCCCCAACTGCCCTCCCCTGCCGGCCTGATTGCCTCCAACTGCTCGCCTCTGCCAGCCTGATCACCCCCAACTGCCTTCCCCTGCAGGGCTGAGGGGACTGGGGCTGGATGAGGTGGGACTGAGGGGACTGGGTGCCGCCATCTTGTGGCTGTGGGCGCCACCATCTTGTGAGGGTGTGATGGTCAATTAGCATATTCCCTCTTTATTAGATAGGATGGAGGTGGCAGTCAGCCAGTTCATGGGTGTGGGTGTGGGTGTGGTCCTCCAATGTCAGTACCTATAGGTATTTTCTCTGCAACAATTTCATGTCTTTAGAGCAAAAGCCTCTAATCTGCTGTCTGGGAAGGATGAGCCTGGCTGTTGGTGCCACAGCACAGGGAACAGAAGCATTTCACAGCTCAGTACACAGGCTTTCTTCATTCCTCACCCTGCACTCTTCCTACCTGGTGCTCCCCGGAGAAGCCTGGGAGAGTTTCTCCCCTCCCCAAATAAAGTACTTACGGGAGTGGGGAAGGGCTTGCAGGGCTAACGGCTTCCTTATCAGTGATTTCACACACCCGCCATTGCTTTCAATGCCTATTCCTACCCCTGTCTTCCAGGCCACAGGCTTCAGGCTTCAATTCCTAGGCCTTCCTGGGATGGGTTGTCTTGCTTCTTTTTTTTTTTTTTTTTAAATATGCCAGAAGCCGGTCCATCCTTGCTGCTTGACACAGTCGCTGCAGGAAAGAAACATCTGCACAGCATATGTTTCAAGGGACCTGGCGTATATAGCATACTGTTCTTAATATGTTTGCTCCCCTTAGCACTATGTGTTTTAACCAAGGTCACCTCTCTGAGAAAGGTTGTTCCCCAGGTAGGGATTTTTCCCTGAAGTTAGGGAGGGAATAAAACCCCTTAACTAAGTTCCAGGCGGGTAGTTAATCACTTTAACTACAAACAATCACGCTTAAGCTACATAATCTTTACTCCCTGGAATGGAGATAAGAAATGCCCTAACCTTTGCAATAGAAATTGACAGGATTAAAATCAACTGGTATAAATACAGATGTAACAAGACAATAAACACCAGAACTTCGCTGGAGATCCTGACCAGAACTTGGCTGGAGATCCTGACTAGAGATCCTGGCTAGGCTGCTGATCAACTGAAGGCTGTCTCCGTGTCATTCCTTCTTCGCCAACTCCATCCACACCTTTGGGGACCCCTGGACCTGCTGGGGTTGGACCCCAGCATAAATATATTTTATTGATTTTTTACAGAGAGGAAGGGAGAGAGATAGAGAGTTAGAAACATCGATGAGAGAGAAACATCCATCAGCTGCCTCCTGCACATCTCCTACTGGGGATGTGCCTGCAACCCAGGTACATGCCCTTCACCGGAATCGAACCTGGGACCTTTCAGTCTGCAGGCCAACGCTCTATCCACTGAGCCAAACCGGTTTCGGCTCTTTTTTTGTTTTAATATATATTTTTATTAATTTCAGAGAGCAAGGTGGAGGGAGAGAGAGAGAGAAATCAGCGATGAGAGAGAATCATCTTCCCACATGCTGGACATGGGGTTAGCCTGCAACCGGGGCAGGTGCCCTGATGGGAATCGAACCTTGACCTCCTGGGTCATAGGTCGATGCTCAGACACTGAGCCACACCGGCCGGGCTGTCTTGCTTCTTGAAGGGTGTTCTCCAACAAAATTTGGCTTCCTCTGCTCTGCCAATTTAGCTGCTATTTTTCCACCTGCTCTTTGTCTTCCTACGTTGTGGGGTTCCGGGTGCAGATATTTCCCAGTTTTGTTGAAGATGGGCTTTGTGTTTCTGTTTCTTGTTCTGATTGTATTGGGAGGAGATTTTCAAAAGAAGAGGTTAGAAAGGTCAATGCTCAGCCATCTTAATCCTGGCAATTGTGGAGGTGACATCCTAGCAGTTGCTGTGATCCTGGCTATGCAAACTTACGTGGAAAAACAATTACAGAAGTAGTCTGAAAGCAGTTCTGTCCACACGTTCTCTTTGGACAGTGGCAGTGTCAAGCAGCGCTGTGGCTAGCTATATTGGAGTCTGAGGCAAAAAAGAAAATTAGTAGTACTGACTCTATCTTTATTTAAAATGTTGATATTTTGTTCATTGTGGGGGGGTTTGCATCAGATATATATATTTTTTTAAATTCTCACCCGAGGATATTTTTCCATTGATTTTTTAGAGAGAGTGGATGAGAGAGGGAAAGACAGAGAGAAACATTGATGTAAGAGAGACACATCCATTTGTTGCCTCCTGAACATGCCCCAACCAGGGCCCAGGCTGGGGAGGAGCCTGCAACCACTGCACGGAAATAGGTATGTGCCCTTGACCTGAATGGAATCTGGGACCCTTCAGTTTGCAGGCCGATGCTCTATATCCACTGTGCCAAACCGGATAGGGCCAATTTAAATTTTTTAAATAAAAAATATTGCAGCCCCACCAGCGTGGTTCAGTGGTTGAGCATCGACCTATGAGTCAGGAGGTCACCGTTCAATTCCTGCTCAGGGCACATGCCCAGGTTTCAGGCTGGATGCCCAGTGTGGGGTGTGCAGGAGGCAGCCGATCAATGATTCTCTCTCATCATTGATGTTTCTATCTCTCTCTCCCTCTCCCTTCCTCTCTGAAATCAATAAAAAATATATATTTTAAAAAGATTTTAAAATATTGCATCATTAAAATACAATTTATCTTGATTACTGAGTTTTTTGGCATCCCTTAAATTTTACACCCTTAAAACATTTTTTTTTATACCTTAATTAAGTGACTTACTTGCTTCACCCTAATCCTAGCCCTGGGGATGGATGGTATTACATTTTTCATCAGCTACACCCCCTACCCCCATAAATTATGACAAACATACAATCTAAGTAAAAGCAGCTTGCTTGGTATGCAAGCTTTCAGCTTCAAGACAAATCCCATCAGTTTGCCCTTCTAAGAGCTCCTATACTGGTATTCCTGAGTTCTCTCCTCTGTTCGTGGCAAGAGTTGGTCTCTTCTAGGGTAATATAGGCTTGGGTTCTCTTGTGAGTTCCTCCCGATATAATAGAGATGCCAGAGCTTTACTGAAGCGTGTAAACTATAAAAGGAGAGGTGTGACACCGCCATAATACTTAGTTCCACAACTTTTCTTACCAAGAATATGTGGCATCTGCAGAATCAGAAGCCTGTCCTCTAAATTCCCTGGTGTTGATTTTTCTGCTAAAAACCTTGAGGCGAATTAAAAGAAGTAAAAATTCTTCAGGTGTTTCTACACCCACTCTTACACAGGGAACGAATCAGAAAAGGATCCTCCCTGATTACAAGATTTTTGTTGGCTGAGAGGGGGGTAGAGGAGGAAGGTATTTTGGGCTGCTTCAGGGCACTCTGATGAAATGAGAGTGAATTTTTAAAAACCTTTTGAGTTCTCGTTTTAACTAACTATGGTGATACAAAGGAGTCTTTCAGACCACTGGGCACTTCCACAGTGAAGAACAGTCATGTGAAGGCATTCTCAGTCTTGGTATGTTTATAGGAAGTCTTAACTATTTTGGGATGCTCTTGCCTATAGGCCGTAGAGACACCACTGAATAAAGACACAGTGGTGACCTCACCTTACTTGCCATAACACACCCTTGAGGAAGATCCAGAGAGAGTGCTACTCAAAGTCTCCGTGAGCACTCTGGATTAGACTAGAGTTAGTTATTAAACCAGTATTGCCTGTTTATATCCAGATAATTATGGAAATTCAGAACAAGCATTTAGAAACAGTTATAGCATAATTATATATAGACAGAAAAATTCATGTCTGTTGAATTTAATAATAAAAACAGCCCCCCCCCCCCCCCAATAACTAAATAAATAAATAAATAAAAACAGCCCTGCCTGGTTTGGCTCAGTGGATAGAGCGTCGGCCTGCGGACCAAAGAGTCATGGGTTTGATTCTAGTCAAGGGCACGTACCTTGGTTGCAGGTTCCTCCCTGGCTCAGGCCCTGGTCGAGGCTCATGCAGGAGGCAAATAGTCGGTGTGTTTCTCTCTGTCTTTTCCTCTCTCATCCACTCTCCCTAGAAATCAATGGGAAAAATACCCTCCAGTGAGGATTAACAAAAAACAAACAAATAAACAGAAACCTAGAGTCAGATCTGCCCTCAGAGCAAAAGCCAAAGTCTTTACAATGGCACATGCAGGAGGCAATCAATGATGTGTCAATGATGCTTCTCTCTGTCTTACCTCCCTTCTATTCTCTCTAAAAACAGTGGAAAATATCCTTGGGTGAGGATTAACAACAAAAAGTTAAAAAACAACAACAAAAAACCCCCAGGAGCTTAGCCCTAGCCAGTTTGGCTCAGTGGATAGAGCATCGTCAGCCTGTGGACTGATGAGTTGCAGGTTCCATTCCGGTCAAGGGCACATGCCTAGGTTGTGGGCTCAAACCCACATGGGGGGTGTGCAGGAGGCAGCTGATCAATGATTCTCTCTCATCATTGATGTTTCTATCTCTCTCCCTCTCTCTCTGAAGTCAATAAAAATATATTTAAAAAAAAAACACCAAAAAATGAAACAAAACCATAAAACCACGAGCTTATATTTTTGATGTCTTGTTTATTTAAAATCATTTCTAATAGTTAATTTTTATTATATTTTACAAAAGTTGTCACATTATTGCCCTGGCTGGGTGGCTCAGTTGGTTGTGTTATATGATAGTAAGAAGCTAGGAAAATTCCAGGACAAGAGGAATAGGGAAACTAAGACAGATAGTTAAACAGCAGTTTGCAGCCTCCTAGTAAATCCTATCTTCCCTAAACCAAGGACACTTAAGAGAAATGGTTTGCACTTCTCTCCAATCAGAGTGTAAATAGCTTAACTCACCCTACTCAGGGAGACAGGCAACAGAAATCCAACTAGTGCCCTTTGCCAACCACACCCAAGGACAGACAAATTAAGAGAATAAATCTTTTTGTCACATCAGCATAAAGCTGATGAATATTCTATTGATCCTCCTCTAAGACTTCCTTTAAACACCCAGCCTTTAAAACCCTTGACAATGACAGTCCCAACATGCCCCTCCCATTCCCTTCCCTCTCTCCTTCCCTCACAGGCAAGTATGTCCTAAACTCCAAGGGACCCCATGAGACTTGCAACCAGGAGAGCAAGAGATCAACCAAGGGACTTATATGCAAGCATATGGGCCTAACCAATGGACTCGGACAACAGGGGGGTGAGGGCATGAGTGGGGGGGATAGGGGGTAACGTGGGGATAAGGACACATATGTAATAACTTAATTAAAAAAATAAAAATAAATAAAAGGGCAGCAGCGGCTTGTCCTGGGCTAACCTCCTGAACCTGTCTCCAAGGCCCCCTTTTCTTTGACTTCCCAGGAGCCAAAGCAGCCCAGCCTAGGGCTCTCCTGTTGCTTTTTCTATGCCCTTCCTAGTTTCACTGTCTTAAGGGTATTTTTGCTGTGGTCAATAAATTCTTATTTGTCTTTCTTTCTTTCTTTCTTTCTTTCTTTCTTTCTTTCTTTCTTTCTTTCTTTCTTTCTTTCTTTCTTTCATAGATTTTTATTGATTTCAGAGAGGAAGGGAGAAGGAGAGAGATATAGAAACACCAATGATGAGAGAGAATCATTGATCGGCTGCCTCCTGCCTGCCCCCAACCGGGGATCGAGCCCACAACCTGGGCATTTGGCCTTGACCGGAATCAAACCTGGGACCCTTCAGTTCACAGGCCGCCGCTCTATCCACTGAGCCAAACCGGCTAGGGCTACACTTTGTTTCTTGATTGAAATCTGAAAGGGCGAGGGCTAGGCCCTCCATCTTGCCCCAGGGTAAGGGCTACACCTTCCATCTTGCCCCAGGGTAAATGCTACGCCCTCCATCTTACCTTGGCCATGTGCTTGGCAAGGAGCTTCTTCCTGGAAGTCTAAGCCTCTGCTAGCCACACCCAGGAACAAGACACCGACTTGCGCCTGGCCAATCAGCAAGGCCACAGCCCTTTCTCCTCCCCTTACTCCAACCCCCTATAAAACCCCTCTCCACACAGAGTTCTCTCTCTCTCTGCTTCCTGCTGCTGTGTTGGCAAGGTCGGGGAGCCGAGCTAGCTCGAATAAAGACTCTTATGCTTTTGCATCGGACATGGCTGGCTCCTTGGTGTGGTTTCTTGGGGATCCTGAAATCTGGGCATAACAAAATCTTTCCTTCTGTCTCTTGATTGAAATATTTCCTTCAAGAAGATAAGAACTGCGGTCTCCTTGTCTCACTGGTAACACTATGGCGTTATGTCACATATATTTAAGAGAAACCTATAAAAGAATAATAATAGAAATAACCATGCAACACAGTAGTCTATTGGAAAGAGTATTAGCTTTGTAAGGAAAAACATTTTTTGAGATATTAACACACCATAAAATTCACCCATTTCAAGTGTGCAGTGGTTTTAATATATTCACAGAATTGTGCAACCATCACCATAATCTAAGTTTGGAACCTTATCATGATCTAAAAATGAAACTCCATACCCATTAGCACTCACTCTCTATTCCACCCTGCCCTAGCTCTAGGCAATTTACTAATCTATAGTCTGTCTCTACAGACTTGCCTATTCTAGACTTTACATAAAAATAGAATAATATGTGGCCTTCTTTCACTTATGGTCAAATTTTGTGGTTCTCTTTTACAGCTATACCATATTTTATCTACCTATTGGGTTGTTTCCACTTTTTGTCTATTATGAATAATGCTGTTATGAATGTTCATGCACACATTTTTAAGAGGACAAATCGTGTTTTCATTTCTCTTGGGTATATATGTGGGAATGGAATTGCTAGGTTATATTGTAACTCTACGTTTAACTTTTTGAGGAACTGCCAGACTCTTTTTCCAAAGCAGCTGCATTATTTTACATTCCCAACAGCAATGTATGAGGGTTCTAATTTCTCTACATTCTTGCCAATGCTCATTATTGTCCATCTTTTTTTAATATTTCTACAACACATCATCTGTACACTGTATTGTGTGTTCACTACCCAAATCAAGTCTAATCCATCACCATTTATTCCCCCTATACCCTCCTCTACCCCACCCCCCAGCAATCACCACACTGTTGTCCTTGTCCATGAAGTTTTTTTCTCTTTTTTGCTCAATTCCTCCACCCCCCATGATGGATCCCCCCCAACAGCTTTGTTAATCTTTTTGATGATAGCCAACTTTGTGGATGTGCAGATTTTTGACTTTTAAGTAATTCAGAAAATGTTCAAAATGCAAATATGACCAACTCACTTCCATTCAGTGGTTCCAATGTCTTTTCAGAATAAATGCCAAAGGTGTAAGCCTTCCACGTAACTATCCTTACCTCCCTGTCTCTCTAGCTTCATGTTGTATCACTCTGCTTCTTTGCACTTTACACTCCAGCCATACTAAACTGCATGAAGTTTTCTGCATCTACATTGCTATCTGTATCCTCTGAACATTTGATTCTGCTTTTCTCTCTGCCTAGATTCCCCCACCCCCTTTTTTGTCTGATTTTTACTGCTGCTTTGAGACTTTACCCAAGCATTCATTTCTCATGGAGTTCTCTAAATTTCCAGTTTTATTGTATTTTAACTAGGTATTAGCTTAACACAATCCTATGAGGCAGGAACTGTTACTATCCCAATTTTATGCATACGGAAATTGTCCTTTAGAAAGAGCCAAAGACAGAGAGAGAGAGATTAAGTAACTTGCCAAAAGTCACACAGTAAGGGAGTGACACAGATTGAATTAAATGCCATTCCTCTGTGTGTTCACAGCAGCCTCTGCACACATGGGTTTTTTTTCTTTTTTTAAGTACATTCTATTGATTTTTTACAGAGAGGAAGGGAGAGGGGTAGAGAGTTAGAAACATAGATGAGAGAGAAACATCGATCAGCCGCCTCCCGCACAATCCCCAACGGGGATGTGCCTGCAACCAAGGTATATGCCCTTGACCAGACCCTTGACAGGAATGGAACCTGGGAACAATCAGTCCACAGGCTGATACTCTATCCACTGAGCCAAACCAGTTAGGGCCCCAAATATTTTTTAAAATATATTTTTATTGATTTCAGAGAGGAAGCGAGAGGGAGAGATAGAAACATCAATGATAAGAATCATTGATTGGCTGCCTCCTGCACGCCTCTACTGGGGATCGAGCCAGCAACCTGGGTATGTACCCTTGACCAGAATTGAATCTGGGACTCTTCAGTCTGCAGGCCGACGCTCTATCCACTTAGCCAAACCAGGTAGGGCTCCCCAAATATTTATTTACTAGAGGCCTGGTGCACAAAATTTATGCACGGGAGGGGGGGTGTCCCTCAGTCTGGCCTGTACCCTCTCTAATCCGGGACCCCTTGGGGGATGTCCAACTGTTGGACATCCCTCTCACAATCCGGGACCACTGGCTCCTAACGGATTTCCTGCCTGCAGGCCTGATCAACCTAACTTCCCTCCCCCGCCGGTCCGATCCCCCTAACTGCCCTCCCCTGCTGGCCTGATCCAATGAAATTAAAGTCTGGGGGATTATGCAAACAATTCAATTACATGAATATGTGCTATTGTGGCAACAGGGAGGACATAATTAATAGTTAAGGAAGCCTGGAAACATGATTTTGAAACTGACAAGGATAAGGATAAGAATAACTAGGAATTAGTGAGCTAGATTAAATTTTATAATGTTTGCCTTGGAGATTATAGGTAGCATGTCATATTGTATTAGTTTTCTATTGTTAAGCCCCCAAATTTGGTGACTTCAGAAACAAATTTTTATACTTTCACAGTTTCTGTGGTCAGGAATTTGGAAGTGACTTCATTGAGTAGTTGTGTCTCAGGATCTCTCATGTGGTTGCCATCAAGTTATTGGCTGGGGCTGCAGGCACCTGGAGGCTTGACAAACTTGACTGGAGGATCTGCTTTCAAGATGACTCACTCACATGGCTGTTGGCAGGAGGCCTCATTTCCTCACCACACGAGTCTCCCAGTGGGGTGAGGATCTTTGAAATGTGGAAGCTTCCCCCAGAGCACGTGATCCTAGATAGAGCAAGGAAGCCACAATGCTTTTTATGACCTAGTCTTAGAAGTTATGCCTCATCACTTCTACCACATTCTATTCATTAAAACTGAGTCACCAAATCTACCCCATACTTAAGGGGAGGACTGTGGAGTGGGCAGCTTGTCCCTCTCCTGGGCCACAGCCTGGCTGGTCCCATTCTTCTCTCGTGAGCTCATTTGTGCCTGGCTGGTCCCCATTCCTCTCTCCCCAGTGTTGAGTGTCTGAGCAGTTAAGACGTGACGGCATGAGGGCGTGATGACATGAGGGCGTGATGACCATTTGCATATTAGCTCTTTATTATATAGGACTAGAGACCTGGTGCACAAAATTCATGCATGGGTAGGGTCCCTAGGTCTGGCTGGCAATCAGGGCAGATCTATTGGGTGACTGGCGGGGTGATCAGGGGGCCCCGTCTGGCACCCACCTTGGCTGGCCTGGGGCCTGTGGGCTGAAGGCAGCTCCTGTGTTGAGCATCTATCTCCTGATGGTCAGTGCATGTCATAGCAACCAGTCATTCTACTGGTCATTCCGCTGTTTGGTCGATTTGCATATTAGGCTTTTATTATATAGGATACCAGATAAACCAAATTGAGAGACATTCTACCAAAAGACTACCAACACTCATCAAAAGTGTCAAGGTCATGAAAGACAAGGAAAGACTGAGGAACTGTTATAGTTTGGAGGAGACTAAGAAAATACAACAACCAAATGCAGTATGGGATTCTGGATTGGATCCTGGGACAGAAAAAGGACATTAGTGGAAACACCGGTAAAATCTGAATAAGGCTGTAGTTTAGTTAATCGTATTGTAGCAACGTTAACTTCCCTGTTTTGATCACTGTAGTGTGGTTATGGAAATTGTTAACATTAGAGGAATTTTGGATGAAGGGTATACATGAATACTGTCCATTTTTGGGTAACTTTTCTGTAAGTCTGAAGATATTTTTTAAAAAAAGTAAAAAAAAAGAATAAAGGTGAAGGGTGTGATCTAGAGCACAAATGAAAAAGTAGCCTGAGTTAGGAGGAGCTATGCCTCTCCCCTGCAACCAAGAGGGCTGGCAGAAGGCATGGATGGTCACTCAGGTAGGGTTACTGGCTTGTTGGCAGGAAGCTGATGGAGTTCTTCAAGGGAAGACCGTAGCTGTACCCTCAATGCCCATCACAGGGCCTGCCACAGAATAGGGAATAAAAAATGCTTATTGAATTGGACAGGCTAGGGTTTGAATCATGACTATAATGTGGTTATATCTTTTTAGATATGACCTTAGGCAAGTTACTTACTATCTTGGTGCCTGTTTCCTTAGAAAATGGGGGTAATAATCCCAGTGTTGAGTCAGAAATTAATATATATTCTCCAAAGTCTGTTCCCTTTTTTTTTTTCTGGGAAGACAGCTAAGTAATGCTTTTCAGCTCCCAATTATGTGAGGCACACACTGACCGGCACACATTGTTGGCTCTTAATGTATATTTAATGAAAGAATATAACATCGACATGTTCCATTGTAAACTGTTGTCACCAGTTCTTCTTGATCGTGATTCAAGATGACATCTTGTCTGGCCATGGGGATGGTTACGACCAAATGGACATTTCTAGTGGATAATTTGTAATGGATATGATTTGTTTTATACAGAACTAATTGATGCTGATTAATGCTTCCCTAATTATGAGTCATGGAGAAAAGTAATGTATTCTTAATCCCTTGACACTGGTTAGAACTGGAAGAAAACAATAGTTGTGAAAAATTTTTGCCAGAATGTTATTTTCCTCCTGACTCCTACTCATCTAATTTAAGAATACATTCTTATTAGAAGCAGTGTGAGGACAGAAGGGTGTGTTGTGG